ACCACATCTTCCCCACTGCCAGTAGTCACACGGGGGCAGTTGTTGTCAGGGCACCGCACCAGGAGCACATACCTCAACACACTGACCACAGATTCCGCATCCTGCAGCACGACATTTCTGTCTTTGCCAGCTGTCAAGTACAGCGGCGTGGCCAACAGCACCTTCACCTCAAGAGATTCCACACCCCACGGAAGGTATTGGGAATGCCAGTCATTTGACGTCACACAGAGCCAATATTTGCCTGGAGGGGGAAGAAGCGCGGGTTGCGTCATTATGTGGCACCCAACAGAGTCAGTGCAGGTTGTAGTGGTGTACCGGCAGTCATTGAAAGAACGAACCAGCATGTAGTCGGAAGCAATGGTGCCTCTCGGAAGATTGGGTGCCCACGATACGCCCATACCGTAATACGGATAGAGTGCACCGAAATTCGCTATGGTATCACCAAACATCATAATATCCATGCTCTTATTGGTCGTAACAGGAAAATATAAATTTTCAACGTCAGAAAACGATGTGAAGACCAACTCCCAATGTCCTGAAGAAGGCAGGCCACCAGTAGGCACGAATTTAATGGTCTTAGCTCCCGCATCAAGAATCGCCGGCCAGCCAGAATTAAGAACTGGGTTGTAGTACGAAGCAAAGAGCTTCAAGCCACTCAGTTTTTGGGCATTCCACAGTTCGCAGGTGTATGGGATGCCGGAATTAATAAGTACAACGGTGGGAAAGCAGTTCGTGAGTGTCACCAAGGAATCGTCGTCGGCTGCAGGCGGGGCCATTCTCGTTCGGGGGACCACGCCACCAGCAGCAGCAGCAGCAGCGGCACAGCAAAGAAACGGTTCAATCACAACCATCAGTACCAGAAACAATACCTGGATGTCTCTCAACTGCAGCCCCATAGCTTCCAACAGTCTCGCCTTCCTCCTGCCTCGACGCAGGATTGAAACAGGTTCACAGAGGCCCATGGCACCGAGACTGCAACTGTCAATGCTCTTTGGTATATTGCAACACTGTAGATGTGACAACTGCGATTTCCCTTCCATGAGTCTCATGTTCATCGATTGTTTGAATGGACAACAGCTCTACTAGAGGCTGCTTGTCTTGATTCAGCAAAAAAATAAAAAACAGAAGCAAAACGCAGCAAACAGCATGCAGAGCACAGACAATCAGCAACAGGAGAACTTGTACAGTGGACACCTCCCCTGCTTCTTCGCTCGGCATTTATATATGCTTCTGCAATTGGGTATTATGCTCACATCCCGGGGAATAAATATCACTTGTGTTTCTCCGATGAGATCACTGTGTTTTATCAGTACTTTTGCTACGCACCTCATTAGGGCTTCTCGCACTCTTCTCTGCACCTCAGCACAGCCACTACACAGCTGCCTCCATACCCCTCACACCAAGAGTCCCCTCAATGTCTATTGCATCACTCCAAGAGACACATCAGGTGGCAAGCATGACCTGAACCCGTGTCAGCGTCGCTTGTGTCACTCGTCAGAAGCACATGCTGAGGCACCGTCTGCCGAGGACCATGCCGCCACACGGTCGCCTGAAGAGTGATTCGAATTGTGTTGCTGGGGAAGAAGCCAATCCCTCAACAAGGAATACGCACACACACACACCTCCTTCCTTACTGTCCTTGAAACCACACCAAGTATTGTTACAGCCAGTCACCACAAATGACCCACAAACACGAGAGGAAATCCCACCTTCACTTTGCTGCTCAAACACATGGTGAGCGCCACAAGTGTATGCAGGAAGAAACCAAAAAGAACCCCACCAACAACTTGATTCAGTGTCGACTTATGCAAGATGGGCTCTTTGATCGTTTCCTTCACAACGGTCATGTGCAGGTGAAGGAGACGTCGAAGGAGCAATAATTCAACACACTTTCCCACTCAACTCGACTTGTTTCCCTCTGGACGAATTCAAAAGCTCAAAGCACACACAGACTCACATATCTTAATGATCATACAAAGGCATCACACCTCACACAGCGTCACGTGCTTCCACCAACATCAAGATGATTCTGAAAGTTATGTTCTTCCGTTTGCATAAAGCAGAACCCCCCAAGCAACCATAAATTGAGCATTGGATCCCCGCGACTCCGCACACTAGGAGACACCGAGGGCAACTCACAACAATGCACTGCCCATTCCAAACAAGTGCTTCACACAGACATGCTCACGATCCCCTTTTTTATTGCGTCATTTCACACAGCCTCAAAGAGCATCAGCACAAGAAAGAGCCACCCATCATCCCCAGCAAACCCTTTCCCTCCCTCGTCGGCGCTGCTCACATCCCCTCAGAGTGGTGCACCATCAGCCAATGATGCCCAAAAATCGTCATGTCACATCCGCAGATAGCAATAGCCATCCAGTGTTTTTTGAGGGTGACCTGCATCAACCTCTTCAATCCATAAATTACTTCTAAAGTAGAAGTAGCCCACTTACGGAAGCCGAGCAAATACAGGTTGCGCGCCACATCCACATTCATCTCCAGCACCGCTGTCAACTCAGCTTCATTCTGCACGTTGTAGAGTGGGCAGCAAAGCAGAGGGAGTATCCTGACGGTCAATCCGCAGATAACATTTGGTTTATATTTCTCATCCCTTCAAAAAAGCTTTTACAACAGCGCCTACACCGTGAGATTGTTGTCACACATCCCCTCTGCGCATGAAAGAATCCTTCACAATGGGGGCAGAGCACCAACACGACACCCCCCCCGCTCACACTAAACCTGCGAAAGCCTCACCAATACAAATCCCCCATACACATTCTCAGCTTAAATTCTCCTCAATACCACCATCCCCCGCCACTCTTCGTACATAGACCATGGTGCGTTCTTTTAGCTGCTATATTTTCCTTTCCACCTCTCACACAAATACAGGACAGATATCATCATCGTCGCGGGTTACCCCGCTAGTCTCTTGAAGGCATCTCTCGCCATCTTAACATGGCACATTGCTGCAAGCTGAGACCTACAGAACATACCCTCACAACAGTGGCATGGTGCTGCTGCTGCCTCTGCTAAGGCTTCACAAAACCGTGAAAAGGGGACACACTTCTGCTTGGCAGAGCCCCCCCCACACACACACACAACATGTCACCCACTTCTACAGTGATACAGAGCAAGCCTACAAGCAATTCTGTAGCTTCGTCGCGGCCAAAAAAAACTAATTCGACAAGCATCGTGTGCCACCCTCTCTTTTGTATGCATATACGTCGCAATAACCTTTGGTGCAAACAGTGTCGACAAAGTCCAGAGTCCCACCAACCAAAACAGCATCAGCAGACGCAACATACAGCACAACACATCCCGGCAACTGCTAAACGCAGAGACGTAGGGGAATGACGCTTGCTGTCTACCGTCTAAGTCAGCGCAACCTCCAGAGTCAGGGCAACACAACACAGTCACCAGCATCATGGACGCCAATGAGGGTGGATGAAAGGGAGAACAGCGTATACCGCTCTTTTACTGAAATCGCTGGCGGTTCAACTCGCACGTCCCTGTATACGCAACGCATTCGGATGGTGAGGTATCAGATATCTGTAGAAGCATGTGTCGCAACACGTGTCAGGTTTCAGTGGGATTCGCATCCAAGTTAGCTGAAGGGTTCATTAGGGAATACCTTTTCATTTGTACATCCACACGGGGAGACACCTCTACCCCTTTATCCATCCACAAACAAGTATAGCCTGCCCAGGCATACGTCGTCTTTCATGCATTTCCAATACTTTAATAGAAATGGGTATGGTGGTGACATGCCCCTGCTGTGTAGTGTATTTCGCGATCTGCTTTTCAGCTACCGAATTCCGCCGGGTCTTGATTATGAGCGCGTGGGGGCACGACGGGTGAGCTCCTCCCTCTCATCTCTACTGTGATATGCGAGAGTCTGAGTTTTATCTATCCCACTTGAAAAATGGAAGCCCACCATTGTGTGTTTGTGTGTGTGTGTACCTGCTGAGCGTGAGCAAAGGGAATCTTCCAGAGCTGCCTCCTCCTTTTTGCCCATACATAATACAACGGGCACGTTGATAAGGGTAAGAGAGAATAAGGTTGTTTGTGCGTTTTCCTCCCATTTTCGTCTTGTGTAATTCTTATTCATATCTTCCAATTCCAACAGCCCCCGTAGTTGTGCTTAAAAAGAAACGAGGGTGTGCGTGAAGAGTATTTTCTTCTTCGCCTCCAGCGAGGGGAGGCGAAGAGGCCGTGTCGGTGGGGCAATTGACAAAACCACAGATCCGCCATTTTATTCAGTTGCTTTATCAGCCAATACCCGTTATATAAAAGTCGTGTGGCGGTATGACACGAGGTGTCAGGCCCAGAGAATAGCGTGCCGAGCTGGCACTCATAAAAGAAGGACAGTGTGAGATCTGGCATGGCTTGCTGTTAACCGTGGACATCAGAGCCTCCCCATCTTCGGCCACCACAGCGTTCACTCACCTTCATACAGCACAGATTGAGTAATAATAATGTGTGTGCACACCACGGGTGAGAGATCAATCACAACACTTGAATAATCGCATCCAATATCGAAGAGAGTTCCCCTCATTCGTTTGTCGATACCGACGCAAAGCATTGCATCCATCCGAAATACGCCGGATGATTCGTCATGGGCACCCAACCAATAGGATAAGATAAAACTCATTCTACAAGTATATTTTTTTCGAGGGGGGGTCTACGTCACATCCGCAAGAAATCAAATCCATGGTTCTTCTTTATTTATTCGTTACATGCTCCCCGTTTAGGGGTAAATGGATGAATAACGACTAATTATTTTTGTTTTTTTGCCTTCCATCGGCAAGATGGTGGAATCCTTTACCACGCACAGGCTCTCCGTTCGGTCTGCACACCTTTCTGTCCCCGAAATGAAAGCAATGCAAATGTCTTTTAAGGATTAGGTAACGGTAACTGCTGGGACCTAAACATCCTCCAGAAACAGGAATTAGGCTCACTCTCACACAGTTCTTCCCAACTGCCGATTTGCTCAACCCTTCCGTCGTTGAGTACAAGAATTTTGTCTGTGTGTCTCAACGTTGCGAGGCGATGAGCAACAACCACAAAAGTGGTATGCCGAGACGTGGCCTCTTCTCTGCGTAGGCCCAAGAAATCAAAAATCTTCTGTTCTGTAGTTGTGTCAATTGCACTCGTCGCCTCATCAAGAATGTATAGGCTCGCCTCCAAGCCTCTTTTCATAAAAGCCCGAGCGATACCAAGACGCTCTACCTCTCCACCACTAAACTCATCTACACGTAGTGGGGAGTGAATGCCTGATGATCGCTTCTGCACAAATGACAGTGCCTGTGCGGAAGAGAGGGCAGCATTAATGTTGTCTTCTGAAGAATTCCAGAGATTCCCAAGAGCCACATTGTTCGCAATCGAGAGTCTATTAAAAAAACGAAGGGAATTTTCTTCCTGCCACACGTTAGCGATCCGCCGCCGTATCATTCGGACTGGGTACTGCTTTATATGGAAACCATTAATGAATATGTCCCCGGATGTTGGAGTGTACGTTCGATTTAGCAACCGCAATAAGGTTGTCTTACCAGCACCACTGTACCCAGCAATACCAAGGGATGTTCCCTTGTCGATAGTGAAGGATACACGCCAGAGAATGTAAGGATGATTCTCACTGTATCGAAACGACACATCGCAGAACTCAATTCTCCACGCTCCCTCCATTGGTGGGTGTGGGTTTGGAACCGGCCGATCTATCTTTTGCTCCAAGGACTGAAGCTTTTTCAGAACCTGATAGCAACCCAATGAACTACCGCTCATTGCCAGGTCTCGTCGAATACGAGCAATGTCGACCTGTGCCTCACTAAGGCCATTCTCTTCAAAGAAAAGGCCAATAAGGGACGGGAACAGGGGAAACAGATGCTGTATAAACCGAAGATGTAGCATGACGTTGTTTTGCTCAAATGCGGTTTGCTCCAGATATCCCTGTGGTACATATAGCACTGCTAAAGATGCGAGGAGCAGTGGCATCGCATTTGCTGTTCTGAACGCCCCAAGAAACACATCACGGAGTGAATCCTCCCAGCTGCCGTTTTTGGAAAGTGTTGTATAGTTGACAGCTGTCTTTGCCGCAGCCAACTCAACGCCTCCCTGTCGGAGGGTGGTAAACTCTCGTATATATTCCCGTCGACGTTGCGAACTGCCACGAACATGGGGATCATGCTTCCCATTTGTTTCCAACGTATTCTTTATGACTGTTTTGACCCATTGAAGTTTTTGGAGGCCCACCGCCAATTGGTCACCTCGCGGAGCCTGATCCAGTGCTTGTACAATATGCACTGCATATACCCTGGGGGATATGGGCCAAGAAACGTGCCGGATCAAGAGGATCCAAGGTGGCCTCTCGACCATTTTCGACTCAATACAGACAAGCACCAGGAGAGTCAAGCCATGATGTGCCATTGAGTCTTTACCCACAACATTTGGAGAGACAACTAACCTGTATCTTCCCTCGGCAATTGATTCGTCACTATGCAGATAACTCCTGGTTCTCATAAGTAGTTGTATAGGTGACGTAGAATTGAGCCGGTCATTTCGAGTGGTGTGTCTGCTGGAACTCTCGTCAATGTTGCTTTCCAGCTGCTCCTCCTCCTCCTCCTCCTCCTCCTCCATCGTCGCCTCTTCTTCCGTAGCCATTTCACCAGAAACAAAGTAACTCTTGGCGTGCTGTGATTCAAGGTAGAGCGACTCAGTGAGAAAGTCCACGAGGTCGCCCCACTGGGTCCCCACCCACATAGCCAGTGCCATTAATGGAAATCGAAGGGCGACCCACAAGCTGTACAACGTGTGCAGTAAGCATGGCACCTGATTCTGCAGCTCACCCATCACAGAGCTCGATGCCTGCCAAAGGGCATTTGAAACGCGCTGTGACAGAGCCCAGTTGTCGTCAGGTACATAGTCAGCAGTAGAAAGAGCTAAATACGCACTGAGTCGGAAGGACATCACGAGGTCCATCAGTGCGTATTGGACAGTGATGTCGCGAAGACAATATAGAAGTTCAATTGGCCCTATAGAAGCCACTGCGATCGCTGCAAGGGTTCCCGGTTTACCTTGGAGGTGTTTTTGGATGAAACGAAAGACAGAATCTTTGGCTGGTAAATCCGCGGCGGTCACCTTCTGCATTTCTGCGATGTAAAGAGGTATCCAGTTAACATCTGTTTGAACCCCGAAGACCGTCTTGAACACCGCGTCAGGTGAAAGCAACAAGACAACAGCCAAACCAATCAGCCGTCGAATGGAGCACGCGTCAAAAACAACCATCGCAAAGGAAGTCACCCCTAATCGCGTCGACCTCTCGTTACGATATGCATTCGACAGACACTGGAAAAGCTCTTCTGGAAAGCTGTGCACCACCACATTGCGTCTCTGAGAGGCTGGAGGTTCGTCAATGGCGTATTTCCCGCGCAGCAGCGTGCAGAGTGCGAGGAGCTCCTCTGTCCTGACTTCATCCAGTAGAGGCGCCCCATCCGCCCCGATCTGCCGCCGCAAATTGCGCTCCATGACTGCCATCAAACAGTTCCAGCAGTCACAAAGAAGAAGAGCGTCGGGGTGCTTGTTTCGTCTCAAACCGCAGTACACATTGAACACCGTCGTCATACTCAACCGATCGTCGTCAAACACCAACGCTGGGACACGTACGGCTTCCCCGTTATTCCAGTTTAGAGTAACATCAACGTATGTGCCCTCCTCTCGCTCAGAGATGGAACCACCACAACTACCATCGCTAGTACCGGTTTTCATCAGAACGCGGAGCATCTCATACGCCCGCTCCTCAGAGTAAAATAGAACAGCCGTTCTGAGCCTTTTTCTAACAAGTGTTCGTGCCACGAGTACAACACCAGCAACACACGCAGAAATGATAAACGGTGTCATCACCGCTCTGTGCGCAGTGGGGTGGAGAGACATCTGCGCAACATTCTACTCGCATGAGACAAAAAAAAAGGCGAAAAAGAGGAGAAAAGAAAACGTGTCTGTAAGCGGGTGCAAGGGAGTTAGGCGCCTGCAGCAAATATGAGCCAGAGAAGAAGGCACACCAAAAGACGCACCATCCTCTCGATGGCTACAGAGAGGGGAAAAAACAGAGAGAGAGAGAGAGAAAGACGCATTCTACAGTGCATGGTCAAGGCCCCCCAAAAAAAAGAGGAAATTGAAAAAGATACACACAAGCGTTAAGACAAGAGCCTCCCTACAGTGCGGCCTGCTCACACGCCACCCTGGGTATTGCACCTATCTACACAAGACGCAAAGGTATCTTTTCTCTATAAACGATGCAGGCCACTGCTTTTAGGGCTCTGACGCTCCCCAATTGGACGCACCGAGGGAATGTTGTGAGGGAAACTCACCGGTGGGGCATGTGCCACCCGCGCCACAGGGGGGAAGGAATCTAAAACTCGCGGGCGCAGCGGAATTACTGGTGCGTCGATTGAAGGGAACGCCAGCAAACTCCCCTGCCCAACTTCTGGCATAGTCCTTGCTGGCGAGATCAACGGAGGTTCGTTGAAACCGGTTAGCGAAACGGCATGCACGGGTCGTTGAGTCACAACGGCTTGAGGCTCACCAACAGCTGGCGGAACATCATCAACAGGAGCTGCATTCACCTGTGGGGCGACTGTAGGCATCGGCCTAAGCGTTTGATGTTTTCGCGGTGATCGTACACGCGGCTTCGCGCGCTCCACCTGCGGCTGCCGACTCGTCGTATCCTCCTTGTGCATCACTTGTTGCACCTGCTCCTCAGCCACTGTGTCGACCGCAGCAGCAATATCCTCCACAGGTGCTCCTGTGGCCTCTTCTAATTTGTTTGTCTCTTCTGCAGATGTGATGCGATGTTCTTCCACCGGTAGCTGCTTTGTCACCCGGCGGCCCAAACGTTTCCGGGCCTGCGCTGAGCTGTCGGCCACTGTTTTGTCTTCTGCCACGAGCTGCGCAGGTTCGGTCGCTTCATCTTGGCTCTTTTTCTGGCCAACCGTCACATGTGCCTCAGAGTGTTGATGTGGATCTCGTACCGCCAGCCGCTCAATCTCTCGCTTTTGCTTCAATTCTTCGATCATCTCAAAGAAACTCTGCTCCGCTTTCCGCTCTGCCTCTCTCCGTCGCATGGCCTCCTCCCTCGAGACCCTCACCTTTTTCACACGCTCAGCATCGCCCGCTTTGCGCACGCGGTCTGTTGTTGTCACCGCCGCCGCTGCAGCTTCCGGTTTCGGTTTCGGTGCCTCTGCCTTCTCCTTCATTCGCGTCAGCTCTTCTGCTGCCCTCGCCTTGTTGGCCTTGTACCGCTGCAAGAACCTTGGCTCCCCTTTCTGTTTGTTGGTGAAGGCTCTTCGAAGTGCTGCAGCGATTATCCTTTGCCGTCGCAGGCGTCCCTGTTGTATTTTCTCCATGAAGACTCGTTCTGCCTTGTCCTCACGCTTTTTCCGCTGCAACCTCTCCAGCTGCCGCGCCTCCCGCAACATTCTTGGGTTGGCGACGGTTGTACGCTTCCTCGCGACTGCGCGGCCCCCAAGCAAGAGCACCGTTCGCAGCATCGCGTAAGGGATGTGGAGCGCGAGAAATAAAAGCGCCTTTGTGCCTGCGATCGTATGGCTACGAAGCGTTGCAACAGGCAGCAACCAGTGGATAGATTGTCATACAGAGAAAGAGAAAGCGAGAAAGAGAGACGGGGAGCGATGGGCAAGAAGCACGATGAAAACAAGGTCAAACGCCACAAACAAAGGTGGCTAAAAAGGCGGCGTGCATCCGCAGAGGAGGAGGAAGTGAAAGCGTATTGGAGCCTTCGGATTCAGTGGGGCGGCATTGGCGCAGTTACGTGAGCAGTACCGCCTTTCCGTCCATTTCAATGATGATAAAAAAGAGTGTGAGCGCATCCCGAGGCATTTTTTTTTACCTTTTTTATGTTTCCCAGCAAAAGGAAACAAACAAAAAAAAACGGGCGCCTTCCGCCCCCTGTCTTACCTTTTTTTAAAGTGCTCTTCTGAGCTCTATAGTGTCCCTCCCCTTCGGATGCGCTCCTGTGATGACTCACTTGCGCTTCGCCGTCTTCGGGGTTTGCAGCCCAGCCGCCGGGGGCTTCGGTGCACTCTTCGCCTTGGGCTTGCTGGCCTTTGCGAGCTTCATTGGCTTCTTCACGCCCGTCAGCTGCGCCTTCGCCTTCGCGACCTTCTCCTGTGGGACCGGAGCCTTCGCCTTCGCCTTCGCCTTCGCCGCTGTCGGCTTCTTCACAGGCTTCTTTGCCGCCGGCTTCTTTAGAGCAGCCAGCTTCTGCCTCGCCGCGGCGCTTGCCGCCTTGGCGGTGGACGTGACGTCAAGCGCGGGCATCTTGGGCGCCTGCATTTCCAGCGGCGGCGCAACGGGAGCGTTGAGGATCGACACGGCCGGCTGCGCCAACGCCTTGGCGGGCTGAGCCTTCACCGGCTTTGCGACCTTCACAATCCCCTTGCGCAGGGGAGCGCGTGCCAGGAAACGATACGACATGCGGAACATTTTCTCTGTGTGTGTGTGAGTATTTGTGAGAGTGTGTGTGTGTGTGTGTGAACGTGCGGGGCTGACGACCGGAGAGGGCGCAAAGCGACTGTGGGCCGAAGTGGGCACACCAGAAGCGGAGAGAAAAAGAAGAAAAGCACAAAAGAGAGAGAGAGAGAGAGAGAGAAATGCAGGCAGAAAGATCAGCTGAAACATTCCTTCGTGCCACGTGAAAGAGCTCACCCCCTCCCCCTCCATTTTATCGTTACTGTCGGGATGAGGGGTGGCGAGGCGGCGAGAGCCTGCCCTCCGTCGAAAAGTAAAAAAAAGAGTGTGTACGAAACGAGAACTAAAATTGAGACGCGGGGTCTACCACGTGGGGTCCTTGTTGCCAGTCTTCTTCTTGTCGTTCAGCTCAAAGTGCTTCGTGCGCTTGAGAACGTTCTGAATGATGGACTTGCAGCTCGAGCATTGAAGCTTCAGAACAATCTTCTTGGTGGTCTTCGCCTTCTTGTGGAAAATGGGCTTCGTCTGACCACCATAACCAGACTGCTTGCGGTCGTAGCGCCTCTTACCGCGCGCGTAGAGACGCGCCTTGCCGGCCTTGTACTGCACAACCTTGAAGCTCTTGTGGGCGTTGCACCGCTCGTCAGGGCAGTGCATCGTCTTCTTTTTGGGGTAGTTCACCATCCTGGCTACTTCAAAAAAAAAGGGGAAAACACAAGAAGAAAGAGGAAACCGAAAAGAAAATATCAGTTAATTTTGTCATGGAAAAACGAAAAAAAGAGGATACTAGCCCAGCCACCAAGAGTTGCACCTACCCAATTAAAAAAAGAGCCTCGAAGATTATCGGCAAAAAAAAATCGAGGCCCACAAAATGAACGGAAGACAACATCGACCCTCCGTTGCAGAGCAAGTAGCGTTTTCAATGTGGTTATGCATTCCTTTCATCTGTAAGGGTCTGTTAACCTCAGAAACAAGAAAAGAAACAGATGACACCTACATAAACCCCATAAGAAGCCCTCATGGAAGACCCCGCAAGTTATCAGTCGAAGAAACAAATTGAACCAGCAAAACACAAACACACACAAAAAGAAAAAAAACTCATACGAACAACACATGGGTGCGCAGATATAATGTTATTCGAGTAAACAAAGCAAAAACAAGAGAAAGATTTTCTTCTCCTTTTAAAGGATCAAAGGAACACACTACCTTTGCTCACATTCCTCTTTTTTGCCTTTTTACTTGGCTCACTTAGTAGGCACAGCCATATATTTTCTAATCTTAGACGCAAACAACCAAAATCGCAAAAAAAAACAATTTCAAACACTTTCCTGGGTGGCCGGATCGCCCGCCGTGACGCAGGCATTCAAAGAAAAAAAGCGTTCAAAAAGACCTTGTATATGGATAAAACAAAACCTGTCTCACATGAACATTTTTTTTTATTTATAGCAACCCAAAACTCTCAGAAGTAGACATGAATCAAGCAAAAATTATCAGACCCTAATTGAAAAAAAAACGAAGAGACATTGTACTGGTTAGGTTCCACATCAACAAACCCCTAGGTAAGCCCTTGACATGCCTGACTTGGTATCAAGAAGAAAGGTCCAGTTTCATATGCGGTAGAAATGCGTCCTTGGGGTACAAAATGCGGATCAGGTGCATTCAATGGCGCTGGTACAACCGCGACATAGTTCTCTGTGTTTTGGTACGGTAAGATGAAAGAAACAACAGGACTTGACCTGATTAAATGGGTGGTAGTATCACAAATGATTGGGTTCACAGCCGTAGAGTCAATGTAAGGGGGTGGTGCCTGCTTCACGGGAGGTTGGATTGGAGCGCGTATCTGTGTACCACCAAGAGTTGGTCTCCTTGCACAAAGGATAATCGACTTTCGCTTTTCAACATTAACATCGTTGATCATTTTTGCAACAGTAAAAGGATGAGGCAGAAAAGGAAATGGAAAGGGAGCCTTTCCATCCACATCTTCAACACATCTGCATGCATCGGACATGTGCAAAAAATGTACGAACACCATGTTATACGGTGATGGACCTCTGAGCAAATACGATTGAGGGTGTAAAGAAACATTTACCACTGGTCCAAAGTTAGACGCACAGAAGGATTGCACAGCCTCCAAAGTAACATTGCAAGGGACATTACGAATGTAAACAATACTGGACCTCACGTGAGAGTCCACACAAGAGTGCAAAGAGCTTTTCTCCGAAAGCCTCACTTGCAGAATGTTTCCATCCAATACACCTCGGTTCAACAGTTCGCATGCCTTGTTTGCAACATCAGCATTCTCAAACATTACGAAAGCAACACCCCGTGACATGCCGGTCGCGATGTCCAGCAGGAGCTTCACATGTAAAACATTCCCCACAGATGAAAACAAACGCCTTAGTCGTCCACTATCAACTGATACAGGTATATTCGCCACATACACACTGCAGCACCCCGGATGTGTGTTGGCATCATACACTCTTGGCATGTCCATCTATATCCGCTTTATAGATAAGAGCAGAGCAAAGAGAGAAAAAAAAATTGTCGAAGCAAAATCTTTTTTGGGTCCCATCCTTGAAAGACTGCGCCACAAACATTTCAGTAAGACAACCCCAAATAATGAAGGCGCGACCCTTTTTTTTCCCCCAAGAGCAGGACTTTTTTTAGGTTTCATCCCACAAGCAATTTCTTCTTCTAAAACCTGAATAGCAACCGCATTTTACTTGAACAGACCTTTCGAAAATCGTTTTTGCTGGCTACAAACCGAGGATGAAAACTCATCATTGTCATGATCATCAGGGTCAACATCCAAGCTAGCACCTTGCGCATCTAAACGAAACCCGTTATAATGTTCACGTCTCGCTGGATTTTAAAAAACTCGTCCTTGAGCTGCACCACCCACGGCACCTCCACCATTTCCCTTTATACCATCCCTTGGAGAAGGCATTGTCCCCCAATGTGACAAAGGGTTCTTCGGATGAGAAACGCTCTCACTCAACGCATCATCGTCACGCATCTTCGGGGGAACCTTGACAGTCACCTGTGCAGGAACCTTTTTCTGGGGAGTAACGTTCTCATTCTCAGTCTCACTCTCACTCGACGCATCATCGTCACGCATCTTCGGGGGAACCTTGACAGTCGCCTGTGCAGGACCCCTCTTCATGCAGCCACCACGGTTCCTTTCTCCCAGCTTTTTACCTTCGTTACCGTCTGTGTCGCCATTACCTACTTCGTGCGTAGGGGTATAACTTCGCGGAACATCCTTGTGAAATTCCCTGGTTCTTCCACAGTTAATACACTGGTTCCGTTTAAATGCATGTTCTCGAAAGTCCGGACACCCTTCCCTCGGAGATTCTTCTTTGTTTCCTTTAAGATTCGGATCAAAGGAATGAGAGATTGCCTGCTGCAGGGTTTTATTGTGCAGAAGTCCACTGCCAGCCTCAGGTACTGAATATTCCGGCCCATGACTATTGCTCAACAAGCATTTTGATGGTTCACAATGCTCTTCCAGACACCCAGAAGACATTTCAAAAACGTCAACATGTCGTACCTTACGGTGCCCCCCAGATCGATGGTCTTCCTTTTTCCGTCCACAGGTTAAACAAACATCTTGCTTGAAAGCGTGCTCTTTATAGCCGTCGCAATATTTTGACTTTAACTCAGAGTGAGTTGTCAACCAGTTTGCACCTCGGCAATCACGATCCGATACTTTGTGCACCGTTTTGGGCTGCAGGCACGTTGCACATATGTCATGTTTAAAAGGATTCGCCTTGAACTCTGGACATGGAGGAGTAGAATACACTACACGAAACACTCCAGAATGGAGCCCTTTGCTCTTTTGGCAGTTTTTACAAATATCCTCCTTAAACGGATTAGGTGCAAAGTGCGCACACGCCATTTTTGTTATAAATTCCTTCGTAAAAAAATTGCGTCTATCGTAAACAATACAAAGTTGGGATCAGACTATCTACGACTTCACGAGCCAAAGCAATGCAGACTCTAACGCTATCAAGAAATAGATAGGGAGAGGAATAAGGTTCACACTACAGTATCCTTATACGCGAAAACGGTTTTTTTTTCCAAATAGAAGCAGCACAACAGTCAACTGGAAAAAAATGCATATACAATCAGCATACTTCTTCACTCATTGGATTTTGCGTCTATGCTTATACACAAGAAATCAAGATTATACTCCAGCCGGGAAAAAATCTAAAGCCAAACACTTTATATCATCCATCAAAGAAAAAACGCAAAGAAGTCGTATCAACAACGAAAAAAGTTTGTCTTCTATTAAGAAGGGCAAAATAGTAAAAAAAAAAAACAGAATCGTCACAGCCCTACTTTCGTCTAACAGAGACAATAAAGAAAAAAAGAGAGGGACAAGGTGGCATAGTCATATTTTCTTTCATTCGCATTGCTTTTCCCCAAAACGACTTAAACCAATTAAGATATTCCCAACACCCTCATATTTTAAATTTTCAACGCATACGAAGCGAAAGCACTGAAGAAGCGAAAGCACTGAAGGCGTTTTTAACCACTTCTTGCGCGGGGCAGAGAGGGTTGGATTGGGTGAGTCTTCTTAAGGTTACCCTTGGCAGCCAGCTGTATGAAATAAATAATATAATGGGAGAAAGTCAGCATCGTTCGATCATAATGCTAAACCATTCTTATCACAAGCTCACGACAACGACAAAAAATCAACAAAAAGTTGATCTTATGAACAAATGAACGATATTCTTGAAAACAAATTAGGAGTAACGAGCAACAAGACTCTGCAAGAGTCATGAGGCAAGAAACAAACATAAATATCTCTCACTATATCATACAAGACCATAACAAAATTAAGACAGGCATACCAAAAATTCGTTGAATTCGTCATTTCATTCTTCCCCCTACGCATATACACATATATATTAACAACAGTCCCTCGTAGTATTAAAACAAGGCAAGTAACGCACCCTCCGTGCCAGAATGATTGATAACAGCTGAACAAAGAATCATTCGCTCATGAAATCTTCAAACAGTACATCAAGATTGAAGAGAAAATGAAAAGAAAAAAAGCTTAAGAGTTTCTGCAGAAAGGAACGTTTGACAAAGACAACACACCAAAAAAATGACATACCGTTCTGATGAAGAAGACATCGTTCAGCAATTATTATATTTTTTAAAAACAAAACAACACCAACATCAAATGATGGGCAAGACACTACATCCACACGCCTGAGCACTTCTTTGTTCGTGAGCTCATTGAACAAATTGAACTCCTCTCTTCAAACAAGAGAAAAATTAGTTGACACGAACCAAAGCATGTAATGTATATATATATATATACATGCATACAAGAACATACCTGGAAATCCTTTAGATAGAAAGATGTCTGTCTTCCGTAAAAAAAAAAAAAGGTTTGCGTCAGCCGACAACAAAAAATTGAAGCCAATCCAACAAAGAAAAGAGGTGCGACCTGACGAATTGCTCCAACAAACAAGAATCAGATGTGCCTGCCGTTTTAACTTCGGCTAAAGCACTCCCAATAAAATGATATTTAACACTAAAGAGCACAGTAATGCAATTATTTTTTTCCAGCTTAATACCGCAGATATCCTCATTCAACTACAAACTACCCATATATATTCCACACGAATCGTTAAAAAAGAGGACAGAACCACTCAAGGGAAATCTGTAGCCATCTTGATTTGGCAAATACACACTGAACGCAACACTAACTAAAAAACTCCTACGTACCACTTCAAATGTGTAATTATGGCCAATCAGCAAAACGCTGCGAGTTCTGGATGAGAGGTACACATATGGCCCAGTTTTCTAATACACTTCTACGATTGATTCCGCATACAAGGCTCTCTCCGCAACTTAAAGAAGACCCAATGAAAGCAAAGAAAATAAAAAATACATGTTTTCCTTTTTTTTCTTAATCCGGAGACCAGTCAAATCCCACACTGACAATTAGCGATCACACCATTCAGATCCTACAAGTGAAGGCGCTCCGGAGCATAACTCAAAAATATGCCACCATCAAACCTGCCAAAAGACTCCGAAAAAAAAAGGAAAAAACCTTCATAAAACAACGCGCCCCTCGCCGCCAACCCCTGCCAAGGAAACTGTGACCCGGAAAAGCGCGGACGGCGCCCCAGATTCAGAAGGGCGGCGTTTCACCACGGGCGCGAACCCGCCCCCGCGCCC